ATTAAGATTAGTTCAGCCATCTAAGAAAAATTGATGATTTTATTAACATTAGCTCTATGGGATGGATATCAACTCATTTATTCAATGATTAACGCAATAAACTGATTTAACTTTGTATCATTCATATTTTTATCTAAAGTTAGCTAAATCTACCTTACTTGAAACAATGTGCGGCGGTCATGACCCATTTATCGTTCAATATACTACCGGTGCAATGGTGTCGGTTGTTTTGCAACACCACCACAACCCAGGGGTGAGCGCCTAATGTGGCGTTTTTTTGAGTAGCTTTAAAAATGTGCAAATCCTTTTGATTAATTAAAAATTTTATAGAAAATAAATGTGTTCAATTTATTACCATATTCTATTGTATTGTTAATATAAGTATTGACTGGCGTGACTTCGTGCTCGGTGATACTGGTCATATTTAGCTCAAGCCCATGTTCATATTTACTACCAAAAGTCTGTTACGTATAATTAGTAAACAATAATTAATTTATATAATGAACAAATCAATGCTATGAACTGGTCGTTCGTATGAACTAATAATTTGATTCAATACTAACGGCAACCACAAGATTTTTCTCAATAGTTTGACTTAGTTTTGGTCTATTAATAAATGGATTTTTATGCTCTTCCATAACGGTGTGAATCCAATCCAAAAAGTATGATATTTTAGTGAATACAAGCGGGTGTTGATCTAGGTAAATAATTTTTTAATTAGTATTTTATATATTGATAATTCTACAATAATATTTAATTTAGAAACCTGAACAATTAACCGCGTAGGATACCGTTCCGATCAGCACTGGGTGATCTGTGTGTTAAATAATAGGTACAGGTAAAATTATATTACAAACCAAAATAAAATTATTAATTATTAATCTGACCGTGTCTAAATTCTATAGCCGGACCGCCGGAATTGCCCTAGTAAATAAACAAAATATTGACTACGTTTTTTGTTCCATTTATTATTAATTTTCTGTTTGTAATATGGGTCGTTTAACTAACCAAATCTAAGGTCCACGTTTAGACCCTGAATTTATAACTCACCGGGAGTTTGGGCCAGACCAATATCGGTTCAGCGCACACACCGGGCTGTATAATATCCAACTTAAACTCGGTGACCAACTCCCGGTTCTCGGTCAGTTTGCAAACTGGTTTGTGACCCCATCCGGCTGTGATCAGGTATGACCTGACGGGCTCTTCGTACATGGTTTTTGGTAAGTCTATTGCGAAATATAACTGGGGGTTAAGTTACCACGGCAAGTGATTCTCATCCCGATTCAGCCTCGAAAACACCGGCTTAAACAATTTGGAGCCCACACCATATTAGAAACTGTGGGACATGAGCAACGGCAGCGACACAGATATGCTGCCAATCCTTATGCCATAAATGGTGGCGTTTTTGTCCCTGTATATTGTTATAAATAATGTAAATTATTATTACAGTATATAAGATGTAATTTATATTGCATCACAAGTTCATAACTGCCTATTTAAATATAATCAAAATTATTTTTTATAATATTTTGCATAAAATATGTCTTAATTGCGTTTTAAATTCCTTGAACCCCCCCCCCATATTAAGGCGAGACCCCCCCTGAGGCAAAAGCTACATCTCAATTCCTAGAGACTCCTGCCATTCCGGGTGCTTTTGGGAACTGAGTAGTTATATACTGCTGTATTAGAGTTGATGTAATGTTAATAGAGTTGAATACACACGTGAAACAATTAGCGGCACTAATGATCCATTGGTTATTCAATATACTGCCGGTGCAGTGATGCGAGTTGTTCTTCAATATGACGGCTACCCATGGATTGGACCCCTCATGGGGTATATTGCTAATAGCTGTTAGTGAAAATAATAAATAAATTAATTATTATATGATTAACATGATATGATATGTTATTTATTACCTGGATTAATTTTTAAGCTCGTATGTAATTTAACAGGGTTGACCACTACTTCGCTCTTTTCAACGTTTTCAACCGTTTTGTTAACATTTATTATAGCTATTGTCTGTAAAATTGTTTTCAACTGGATTATTTTTCTATTGCTATTAATTGCATAGAATTGTATGTATTGATTTTAACAAGGTTTATTTTACTTACGCTGCAGTCAACAAATAGGCATATTATTATTAATCTATGTTTATTTATTAATAATATCATTTTATAAATCCAATAAAAATAACATAAATAAATATATAATATTTTTAACTATGGTATATTATTATTTTGAATGATTTTTATATTAATCAAACCTTGCTAGTAACAGTGATATTTTAAAATACTGTACTTGTAATGGACTTTTGTCAATTGTTAAAAACTTTAAATTATTTAAATTATTATTTATAATTAATTTATAAAATTAGAGTAAAACCTTTGTTTGATTACTGATATCTGGACTAGATTCATTCGTAGATAGCGATTGGCTCTGGTTAAATAATTGAATGCCAATTGTTTGACCTAAACTAACTGTTATAGAAATTAATTAAAACATTATGAGTAATTTTATTTATTAATTATCAGATAATACAGACATTTAGTAATTATTAATAGCACAATAATATGTGTGCCCACCATGTTGGATATGGTCATTGAGAAATGTTTCACAAATTTAGTAAATAATATACTGTTTCACAAACTTATTAATTAATATACTGTTTCACGAATTGATTAAATAATATACTGTTTCGCAACGATTATAAATTTATACATATGTACATGATACAATTTGCTATGTTATGAGTATACAAACTACACATATGTTTAATGAAAAATTAATTTTAAAATAAGACTTCAATATTAATTAATATATGACTTAATATATTAATTAAAATATACTGTACATTCAATTAAATTCAAAATTAATAAAAATAAAAGTAACGTAAAATAAATTTTATTATTGAAACTCAAGACAGAAATATAATTTTAGTAAAATTAAATACGGATTATAATAATTCATTTATAATATTATTTCAACTGTACTTACAATAAAGTTATTATTTAAAGTGTTAATTAAATGCTATTCAAAAAATCAATAGTTAATTAAATATTTGGTCCAAAAATTAATTAATTATATAAAACATTAGTAATAGAAAACTTATAATTAACAAACTATTAAAACAATTACACCTAACATAATAAACAATTCATTGCATTAATAACTGAATTCTTACGGCATATAAGTATAAGAGATTATTTGTGACGACCACTGGTTTTGGTGGCAATCGGTGTTCATATGAGCGGCCAATTGTGCTCCGAGTGTCTCATTATTGCCAACCATTTTATGCCACTGATTATGAAGACACTCATCCCTATTATCTTTAATATAATCCAATGCTTTTGTCTTCAGCTCTTCGCACTTGAATTTGTCCATTAGATCCAGAATTTTAAACGCATTCTTCGGATTGATTCTCAAATAAACCAAATTTTCACAAATTGTTTTCAACTCTGAGACCATATACTTGTCCGACACGTAAAGTAACTCTTCGCTGAATTCGTCCATTTTGTCAGAGTATCCTAAGTATACAAATCGCAAGAATTGCTCAAAGACTTGGGCCTCGATGTCATCGATTACCACTTCATTGGATCCCTTCTCCAACATATCAGTAGTGAACATGTGTTCAAACACTTGGGATCTATCGCTGAGTATCGCTTTCGAGGCGAAAAACTCCTGATTTTGCACAACAAGTCGACAATCGCTGAGATCTTTGTTATTAAAACTGTTCTCAAATCGGCGCAACTTTTTGTCGCAATTTAACGGCTTATATGCAGTTATGGTAAATGCAATAGTGAGACAATTGTTGGGCACATATCTGTCCATTTGGTCCAACAATACGGACCGACTGACAAACTTAGAGAATTGATTGCTTGCACATGATAATTGAGACCCACCCTTAGTCCAGCTCAAACTCCTACTCAATCGTGGTTCCAGTCGGTGATAATTGGCGTCCATAATATATGCGTTGAAATCGACAACACGTGACTGCTTTGCGCTTGTGTAATTTCTTAAATTAAAATCTAGTTCATAGACATCGGTGCCACACATCCCGATACACACTTGCCATACATCAGATCCAGTGGTGATATAATCACTCACTATATAATCTTTGCGCTCAATTATGTTATTCACTTTGAAAATGCCTTTTGTCTTATATATTATCGCCTTATTTGATGCCATTATTATTATTATTATTATTATTATTATTATTATTAAACACTTGATCTCAAAAACAATATTTTAATGTATTTAGCAGTTAATGAATTGATCACTAAATATAACAAAATGCTTGAAATATCACTAATTGTTTTTTAAAAACACATAAATTAAAGCATTTATTTACTAGATATAAGTCTTATTCACAAACAATAGTAGAAACCATTAAAGAAATTATACACACAATAAAAAATATTTTTAACATTTAATTTAAACTTTAGGATTATTTGCAAGTTTTCATTCAAAATGATTATGAATTACAATAGAAATGATATATGAGATGATAAAAGTGGTCTCACATTCAGTGGACATTTAATTAATCTATGATTTGTCACTCATTATAAAACATAAGATAAGAAATATCACATATGCTAATTATAATTATACATGTATATCACTAATATTCCTTATTTTATTATTACATTTAACCCTGTATTTTATTAATAACTAATTTTTTTAATGATTCAATGGTAAGACATCAATAACTTTCTTTAAATATGATTGATTTGCTTTAATATAAACTTAATTAATATTACATTTAATTATCTATTAATTAATTAAGATTTAATTCTATATTGAACTTTAACTCAAATTACTATCTTATTTGTATTATGTAATATCAAATTAACAAGGTAATTGCATTCTAATGTTAAAGCATCTGTTAATTTTCATTAACAAACATCCGGTTCTATTAATAGACTATAATCAATAGCATGAATATAACTTTTGTTTTATTATTAAACATAATAGGTTTTGTTTACAGGAGTTATTGTACTCAATAAAAAAGAATTATAATGAATGAATGTTATATAGTAAAAACAATAGAGTTAAATCATAACAGAGTAAACAAGGTGTAATTTACGCGTACAAATAAAACATGATTCAAGTATTATGTGATCGCATTGTAACGTATTGTGTATCTAAATAATTACCGTCATTGTTGTCAATAACAATGTCATCGTAATGTCATCATAGGTGTGGGTTGTAATAGATGTTTTCACCATCGTGGTCGCAACAGTGGTCATGTTCAGTTTTATAGACAACAGTTAACTCGTTTAATTTTTTAGCATTTAGTTTGCAATAGTGTAATACTTTACATAATACTACAATTGATAAATTAATTAATAAGACAATTATTATAACAATTGATATGTTGATAGTTAAATAATCATAATTGTTTGTCTCTGATTTATTTTCGTATACCCTGATGTTTATTAATATTTTATTCATTGACTTTCAGATATAATGCTATAATAAGTGATATAATCTGTAATTCAAATATAAATATTAATTGTTTTAAGAATTATTGTTCAATAATTCAATACTGACTTCATATCCGCGAAATCGGTTTATAATAAATAATTTCCAACAATAAAAACCAATACGTTTTGCACCAATTCTTTCAATTATTTTTGACAACTAATTGTAAATTAATTAATTAATTAGAGAGAGAGAGAGAGAGAGAGAGAGAGAGAGAGAGATCTCTCTCTCTCTCTCACTCACTCACTCTACCAGTCACTCACTCCCTCACAGCCTGTCTTCCCCTACCAGTCCTTTGGGACCATTAGTGAGATTGCATTCGCATTGTATGTTTCAGTGACACAATATCTCTATAGATATACAGTATATATTGTGTAGCGAATAGATAGTGATGTTATATAAGGCACCGACACATTGAGAGCTCATCCGAAACGTATAAATAATATATTTATTACTATTATTAAAATATATAACGTATATATATTGATGCCATACATGCGATACAAAAATAGCAATCCTATGGATAAAAGACAATCCGTAAATTATGCCATAAAATAATCGTTATATCGTTTGTGTTTTTTAATATAAAAAATATTTTGTAAAAATAATTTGTATTTTTATTGCTTTTTTGTGAATAAAAGTGAAAAAATAAATTATTATTTCCACGTTTGTTGTGTTTTGTAAGGAATAGTTTTAAATAAATTATGATAATTTTATTATGCATTTAATAAAATAAAAATTTTATTTCTTATATCATAAGCAGATATTTATGAGATATTGTTAGGGAATCAAAGTTTATAGAAAACAGGTATGAATGGTATGGGAAGCGAACATATGGTTTGAATATCTATATATACATTACATTAAGTCAATTATTATTATTATATAAATCACTTCAAAAATAGTGGTATGTTTTGTGTGAACCGAGAGATAAGTGCCTATTGTTTAGGCATTCCTCTAGTTCTGTGCCAAACGTATGAACACTTGTCTCTCTCTTTCTTTCTCTCTCTCTTCTGAGAGCCACAGAATGTGTGTTCACTTCTGTGTTCACATAGACTTTATAAAACAGGCCTTTCACTCCCATCCATGTGTTGGACAGCAGGTGGTTGTGATGGTTGTGATGGTTAACACTGTGTTGAGCCCATTGTCAACACAACACTATTACCACTATTATTATTGTCATTCAATTACTCAATAGAGCTATAAAAATAACTACAAGAATAAGTCACTTAAATTCTGTGCCTTTGCCTTCAATTTATGAAAATATTATATGATTTTAAAAAATTATTTTTTGTATTCATGTTTTGATTATTATAGGATTTCATTTTTACTATTGAAATGACTTTATTGTCAGTCATAATTAGAAAAACATCATTAAATCTAATGAAACGTTTGGAAAGATTAAATTCATAGCAAAAAATACATTAAGTGTATAATTGTTAAAAGCATTTGGAGAGAGAGAGAGAGAGAGAGAGAGAGAGCCTAATAGAGAGTTGAGAGCAAACAATATATATTTTCAATGCTGTGTTGGAGTAAAGTATAGTATATTTGATGTGATGTTAGGCTAGAATTGTTTGAATACCAGAAAATATATCAAATATATTGCATTTCAGTTAAGAGTGAAGTGAAAAATCAATACAAACTTTGTGTATGAAAGAGAGTGAGTGAGAGAGAGGGGAAAGAGAGAGACTTTAAATAAAGATTTTGCTGAAAAGCTATATTACGAGTTATATATAACTCTTTTGAGAGAGAGAGAGGACGTGCAAACAATAAATACAAAATGAAAAATCAATTTATTTGTTAAAAATAGCTTATTCTCAAATTAAATCTAATAAAATACGAGAGAGAGAGAGAGAGAGAGAGAGAGACCCATGATTACTTAATTTAATTTTGTTGTATGTAAAAATTTATATAAAATATTTTCATCCTAACAACTCTCTCCCTCTCTCTCTCTCCCTCTCTCTCTGAGAATTGTAGGGAAGTTATAATAATGAAAGGAATTTAAAGAATGTGTTGTTTCGACGACATGTGATAAGTGAACCGTTGGTTATTTCACAACATATATAACACCATAAAATTTAATCAATTATTTACCTCCTGTTTAACTCAATACACAATAACTGTATTATAAATAAAGTCTTTTATGTCTTCATTATGTGGAGAGAGAGAGAGAGAGAGAGAGAGAGAGAGAGAGAGAGAGAGAGAGAGAGAGAGA